CCGTCGGTCTTAGTACACGATGTAACTACAGAAGTGTCAAGTTTTAAATAGGAAAAATATAGAAATTCTTTGGTCATTTTTGAGTGAGATGCTAACGGTCTAATCCGATTCAATGGTCTATGCTAAGCTAAGCTAAAAATGCTACCGCCAGACCCGGAGATCGGTTGAATGGATTCAAAAACGGTAAAACTCGACTGTTTAACTCTAGGGGAGTTGGAAAATGAGCCTATTTTCAAAAATAGTGGAGTGTTCCTTTAAGACTGGTTTTGTGGTCCAGGGTCACATTTTGTTTGTAACTTGTGTATTATTCCAACTCGGTTTTTGCAGTGAAGATAGCCTTAGATGCTGACATGGCAATGAAAATAAATGACATGTTAATATTGGTGCATCCCTAAAGAATGCACACAAGCTTTCAGTCATTTCTGAATTAGTTTTGGGATTGCATATTATAATCTGATGCATGTTGCATACAAAAATGGCGAGAGCTGGCTACAATCTCCAGCTTCAGTCTGACTGTGATGCAATTTCAGAGAATCAAGCTGCAGAGGTTTATAGCAGTCTGTCAGGGAAAGGTTGTGTTTATGAGGTACCAAGCTGCTAGAATGTGTGATTCTGACTAGTTGCTGTTTTGCGTGGCTTATTATCACATAAAACATTGCAGATATTGTTGGCACTTATGATTTGCTTGTGTTGTTTTTCTCATTTGTAAGTCACTTTGGATACAAATTTCTGATAAAAATGTTTGAGAGCAAGTGGTGATATTGAAAGCATGGTAGAATAGGTATAGATTGTGGGGACAAATTTATGGTAAATAAATCTATATGGGTACATGAGTATCTTTCAGTCTAAATGATGAATCTATTTAAGAAGCTAATGAGCTAATGTTTTGTCTCTGTCTGGCATTTGGTGTTCTTATTGACTGTGTCTGGGTCTTCTCATTCTCCTTGTGTCACCCACACCATGAATGTTCTCTTAGGTGCCGCTAGTAGTGCAGAGATTGCATGCTTCATTCATCTGAATATATATACTTTCTGTATGCATATATGGTGTGTTTTAATTACCGGATGAGAACATCATAACTGCATAATTCATGTACTCTTGATTGACCTCATGTAGAGTCACTATTCCATAGATGAGACTAAGATCACTGAGAGAGAGAGAGAGAGAGCGCCAGCAGCAGCAGAGCATCAGTCTGTGTCTGAGTCCCAAATGAACAGAGGTCTGTCAGAGTGACAGAGAAGCCCATAGAAATCTAATCTATTGCTAATAACAGAAAAAGCCTTTTCAGCCTCTTCTCCGAGTGTCCCACCCACAGCACAGAATTCAATTCTGTGCTAGAATCAAATGCAGTTTGACTCCTAATAAGATTCTATTATCTTTGCCGCAGAGGGATTCTTATTGAAAAGTGAAAGTGGCTCACTTTAGTTTAACAGCTGGTGATGCTTAATTGCATCAAATGAGGAAGCCTATTATTGAGACAGGTGTCTGTCTAAATTCCTGTCTCTTGGCTTCTACCTGCTCTAAACATGCATTCGTTTTTCATCTGAAGATATTTCATTTTCCTTTTACATTGATGGCTTGCACAATGTATATCACGATGCGCACACTACCATTCAAATGTTAGGGGGTTGTCTCTGTTAGATTTTTTAAATTACTACTAATCTTCTTATTATTTTTAAAGGGTCTCTTATACTTATCAAGGATGCATTTATTTGACCAAATATACAGTAAAAATATTACAGTGAAATATTAGGCTGTTCCAATTTAAAATAACTGTTTTCTATTTAAATATTTTTAAATGTTATTTATTCCAGTGATGGCAAAGCTGAATCCGCAACCATTACTCAGTGTGTCACATGATCCTTCAGAAATCATTTTAATATGCTGATTTGTTGCTTAAGTAACCGTTTTTATTATTGTTGAAGACTTATTTTTAACTAAGCTTATTTTTGTGGAAACCATGCTATTTCTTCAGGGTTAGATATTTGTTAAACAGAAGGGGAAACATTTAAAAATGAAAACTTTTGTTGCATTATTATAAATAACTTTAGCTTAACGTATCCTTGCTGAATAAAAGTATTTCTTTTCTCTTCTCTATAATATGGACTAGGTTTATTGCTTTTACTTAGGTGTCTGTGTTTTATATTTAACATCATGTGGGAGTATTTCTCCAAATAGCTTGAAAATGTCAGCTGTACAGGCCCAGGCATGTACGAATATGACTTATTTATTTTCATAAGTCATCAAAAATTAAATATTCATCAGGTTAGGCATCCCTGGGAGCCCCTTTGCACTCTGGGACAGTGAGAGAGAGTGAGAGCGTATAAAGGAATCTTATGAAAGGAAGTGGGTACAGATGTAAAGATGTACCCAAGAAAGAGTCTGACGTACATAAGAGTAATTAATTAGAGATTCAGAATGATATAAATATTTGATAATTTCCCTGCTTCTAAGCCCAGATAAAATCACAAAAATCACACCTGGTTTCTGTATTTCCATTTATTGCCAACTCCTTTTTCCTTCAAATATATTTCAGCTGTTCTGAAGCCTAACTGTAGGATTGCATGTTACGTGATCCACAAATTGGAAAGCAAAAGTTAAAGTTTAAACTTTTCTGATTTTGAAAAATAGATATTAGTGCATATTTCCTCACTAAATGTAGATTTCAATCTGAATCCCACCCTACTGTTTTGGACAGCAAAATAACTTTTTGCTATTTTTTATTTTTTTTAACTTGGCAAGGTCAGAGATGTATTGCTATGAGAAGTTAGTCGATCCAGTAATATTTGCTCTACCATTTCAGCTGAATCCCTTCTAACCCTTTAACAATGACAGACCCACACACACATACGCAACCAGCCAGGCTCTTACAAAGAATCAATTGCCCTTTCACTGACTTTTTCTATCTTCTCTAGCTCTATCTTTCCATCAGCCCCAATTCTGCTCGGCATTACGGTGGTCATATCAAGAGTGGGCTGCAGAAGCTGTGTCCCTCTCTGCAGGCTCTGGGATAAGGAGGAATCCATGGGGACAGAGATTACACCGAGGGTCTTACAGCCTGTCTGCAGAGAGAAATTGGAGGAATGCTCATTAAACTAGCTTTACCTCTTGAGAAAAGCTGTCTAGTTCTCACCTAGACAAACACAAGACACTTGACCCTCCAGGATTATATTAGCACCAATGTATGCATACACACTCAGAGGACAGTTTTATTGCTCAACTGTTAGAGCTTAGAGTTAGACTTAGAGTTCACAGTTGTGGTTCATTTTAACTGTCGGTTTTCTCAGATGTTCTCCTTAGATGGAAAATCTAAAAACAAAAGTGATGGTTGTTTATATGCAGTTAGAGTGCTGTGAAATGAGTGTGGATTGCATAGCCCAGATAGTTTGGTCTTGAAAAAATAGTTTAAAAATGTTTGAGTTCATATTGATTTTTTATTTTTTTCATTTTGGCAAATTGAAATGAGATTTCTTATGAATCTCTAGTACTAGTGGCTAAGTGATTATTTATTTTGAACAATTACAGAACAGAATCAGGGAGAATATTACTAATTACAGATTTATTTTGAAGTTCAAATGTTTTTTTTAAATGGATTAGTTACAAATTATTGTGGTATATATAATGTGAAATAAGAGTTAATATTTGACATTGATACATAGATTGATATAAATGCAAATGTTTGCAACATACAAAAAAAGCATCATAAATGTAGTCCATATGATTTGAGAATGAGTAAATGGTGAGAGAAATGTAATTTTATGGTGATCTATTACTTTAAGCAAAGATCTCCTTTTCTTCTCCATGTAATCTCACTGCTGAGTTGACTAGAAGAAACAATTGAGATTGACCGAGATCTCTTCTGTATTTATGGTCACCTCCTGTCTCTTTCTCTGTATTTCTCAAGACTGACAGTTGAGGTAAATTGCACCTGGGTAAGTGAAAGGTAGAGCATGAGAGGAAATAGATTTAGGGAAAGAGAATTGGAGAGTATTCGTTAGCCGTGCTGGATAATCTGGGGTGGAAAGATTGAGACGCCCTCTTAATTGAAAGACACATTTTCTCTGGGGCTTTCTACAGGATTCATTAGACACCGGACTGTTGAAATAAATCAAGAGCGAAGGACAGAAAGCCTTTCAAGAGGTGGTCAGTATTCAGTTGATTTTATTGAGTTATGGGTTATGAAAGGTTCATATTTTGGTTTTGGGAGTCCCCAACAACAGGTTGACATGCAATTTGACGTCAACATGAAACGGCTTGGGATTCGTTTTAAAAACGACTCGTTTCAATGATTCAGAGTCGACTCTTTCTTTTGAGAGACAATAACTTTATACACGGTGCACTTTCAGATTTAAAACTT